TATTTTTGTTTCTACTATTAGCTTGTACTTTTAAGCTTATTCTTTCAGTTGTTGCTGTATTATGACACAAATTTGTAACTTTTTTCCCCAAATTTAAATACTTTTAAGACATTGCATTTTCCACTTACAATACAGTGTTTATAAAGTTTAATGTTATTTCCTTTCCCCGAGTACACACATATGCCATATTCAAGTATTGAGAATGCCCATTAATTTACTATAGCAGCAATTTGAAAACTGCCATAGCATTTGCTACAAATTTGGGCCCTTCCCTGTTTTACTGTGAACAAAGTACAGCACTTGGGCTGACTTAATCAACCTCTTCCACGGTGAGCCCAGGGGGAGCACCACCAGGGAATCCTCTGGCATTCCTCCTGCCTTGCCTCCTGTACTCTGTACAGCTTGGTAATGGTGGGGTCGCAGGCCTTCTCCAGTTCTTTCTGCTGATGTTCAAGTTCTCCCTTCTCTGCAGTCGGATTCTTATCCAGCCTGTTGATGATCTCATTACATTTGTCAGGAATCTTCTGTTTGTCCTCACCATTTATCTTGCCTTGAAGTCGCTCATCTCCAACAGTTGCTTTCATGTTGAATGCATAGGACTCCAGTGAATTCTTGGATGACACCTTGTCCCTCTGCTTTTCATCTTCAGCTTTGTACTTCTCAGCTTCCTGGACCATGCGCTCAATGTCTTCCTTGCTCAAACGACCTTTGTCGTTAGTGATGGTAATCTTGTTCTGTTTTTGAGTACCCTTGTCTACGGCAGAGACATTGGGGATGCCATTGGCATCAATGTCAAAAGTGACTTCAATCAGAGGAGCATCCTGGGTGCAGGAGGTATGCCTGTGAGTTCAACTTGCCAAGCAGGTCGTTATCCCTTGTCCGGGCGCACTCACCTTCATGACTGAATGAGCACACCAGCCTGGTGTTGAGGGCAGGTCGTGAAGGTCCGTGTCTGCCTGGTAGGAAGGGGGGTATTACACTTGATGAAGACAGTCGTAGCTCCACCAGCAGTGTCAATGGAAAGAGAGGAGTGATGTCCAGGTAAAATGGCTGCCTGGACAGCTGCACCATAAGCAAGAGCCTCATCAAGGTGAATGCCCTTATTCACTTCTTCTCCACTGAAGAAATGTTGTGGAAACTTCTGAATCGTAGGGATACGAGTAGAATCACCCACAGTACAGTATCATGGATCTGTGACTTGTCTAGTTCAGCATCTCAAAGACCTTTTTCTATAGGACCAAGGGTTGCCGCGGATCAGGTCAGCATTCAACTCTTCAAATTGAGCACGGTTAATGGAGGTATAGAGCCGATTCCTTCTTAGAATCCATCTCAGTACTGGCCTCAGTGCTGGAAGAGAGGCTGTGCTTAGCTCTTTCACTTGCTGTACGGAGACTTTGGACAGCTCTTTTGTTCTTACTGATGTCCTTCTTATGCTTGCCCTTGAACTCAGCACTCAAATGATTGACCATGTGGTTGTCAAAGTCTTCTCCACCTAAGTATGTCTCCAGCTGTGATTTGACCTCAAGGATTCCATCCTCAATCGTGAGGATTGACACATGGAAAGTATCACCTTCTAAATAAAAAGAGCCCCAAACTTTTTGTCTAAACCATGAGCAATAGCAGCGGCAATTACCTCATTGATTACCCTAAGTACACTAGACTGGTGACGGTTCCAGCATCTTTGGACGCCTGACACTGAGAGTCATTGAAGTGAGCTGGCACTGTGATCACAGCACTGGTAACAGTCTTCCCAAAGTAGGCCTCTGCAGTTTCCTTCACTTTTGTCAGAACCACAGAAGACACCTATTCTGGATAGAAACTCTTTTTCTCTCCCTGGTGTTCTACTTAGACTTTGGGCCTGCCTACATCATTCACTACCATAAAGGGCCAGTGCTTCATATTAGAATGGACAACAGCATCGTCAGATCTCCATCCTACCAGACGTTTGGCATCAAAAACCATATTGATGGGGTTCATTACAACCTGATTCTTTGCAGCATCACTGACCAATCCTTCTGGGTCAGTGAAGGCAACACAGCTTGAGGTAGTTTGGCTCCCCTGATGATTGACAGTATCTCCACTTTTCTGTGCTGGAAGACACCCACACAAAAATAGGTGGTGCCAAGATCAAAGCCGGCTGCAGGTTCCTTAGACGTGGTACCAAATGTGTAGGCCAGAATCTACTTTCGAAGAAACCACGCAAATCTCAAAAGGTGCCACTGCGTTCAATTGATATAATTTTTAATGGCAGTAATAAATAATGCTTTACCATGGCCTAAAGACTCCAAGAAGCTTAGGACACAACTTACCCCTTTTTGCTTTTTTTGTTTCTTTTGCTTTTTTGCATTTGAATTCTACATATATTTTAAATGACAGAAAATATTTATATTATTGTTTTATAAAATCAGTATTCCTTTTAGACTTACCTTTATTTACCTTTCTGGAGTTCCTCATTCTTTTTGGTAGTTCCTTCCTTCTCTCTGTATTCTTTTTCCTTTTGCCCAAAGAATTTCTTTTTCTTCTAGATTCAATCTGCTAGAAGCCAGTTTTCTCAGAATTTGTTCGTTGGAGACTACCTTGATTTCACAATAATTTTTAATTTTTTTCCTCCAAATGTAAAATCTAAGTTACCTACTACTTATTTATATTTGGCATGCTAAAGGTGTCATTTCATTGTCTTGTTTCCATTGAAATGACAGCTGTCAACTTTATTTGAAATGTAAATGTTTTTTGAAAGAGTTCTTTCTTAAATTTTTAGGTATTTTACTGTGATATGACACATTGAAACTTGTGGACTTTTTTGTATTTTTTGTTTCATGAATCTGTGGCTAGAGTCGGCTGTGGATTTTGGAAAATCCTTGGAGTTCTAGACCTTTTTAATGTATCCATTATGTCTCTTTATTTTCTTATTTTCCCCTCTTAAAACTCAGACATTTTTTTACTGATCTCTCAGATCACTAATTCTTTTTTCTTCAGTAATTAATATGTTAAGTCTATTTAATGTCTTCATTGGTTATTTTTCAGTTCTAGAATTTTTAATGAGTTCCAGTTCTCTGTTAAAATCCTCACTCTTGTCTTCTAGTTCCTTGGCATATCAGTCAGTATTTATTAATATTTTAAGCCTGTATTTTATTATCTGGAATTTGTTGACCTCTTAGGTCAAGTTCTAATCTGTTTTGTTTTGGTTTTCTTTAGTATATTGGACATCTTTCTAATATAAACTATGAGAAAGCAATTCTGATTCAGTGGATCATTTGGTCCTGCCTCCTCTACATTATGAATAAACCTTATTGAGGCTAAAGATGATGTTCTCTCCCTTGGGAGGGTATATTGCATTTCTTTTGGCAGGCTGCAAGAGGGTGGTGTCCATCACCTTGACCCAGTCTGGGATGGGGATGATCTGGACTTTCAGTGCTGTAAAGACTGCTCCCTTCCAGTTTTGGCTTTGTACTGAGCCTACACCTGCAGAAGACTGCTGGAGGCAGAGTGTTCACCAGGGCTCCTCTTTCTTGGTGGGCTCATCTCCAGGTTTTTGGTATCTTTTCAGCACTGCTGGSCTAGTGTGGCTTTGCTTAGCCTTTTTAGCTTCTTCACAGCTGCTTCCTGCTTCCCTACTAGAATGCCTGGAGAGGAAAAGTAGTGAAGGTGTTCAGCTCGTTTCGTTGTTTATACCTTCTCTCCAGGATCTTAACTCTTTAATTCTTTCTTTTTTTTGAATTTTTGTTTTTTTCTTAGTTGCTCTCTGATGCCTTTAAAAAGCTGGACTTTTGGTTTTCGGATGTGGTAATTTTGGGGGAGGAGGTTGGTATGTGTTATTAGCTGCTGTTCCATCTTAGCCAAATTGAGTCTCTTAACCTTTCTTTTCTGTTTTCACCTGGTATAGAGTAGATGGAAAGTTTAATGAGACAGTTTGACTAAAGACTTTGGCACAGTGTGTCTGCATGTGTTTCCTTCTTTTCATGTCAGTGAAAAGAATTTTAAAGCAAGGAATGATTTCCTACCTTGCTTGCCCTATTGCCCGTAGACAGAGGTTTGTTTACCGAAAAATAGCCTAAAAGGTTAAGTTTATGTAGCAGAAGTGTAACTGCCTTCTCTTTTAGTATAATTAATCAATAAACAAATAAGTAAATAAATCAGAGGTATTAAGACAAATATTTTTTTGCTGTTTTCTATTGATTTTAGTTTTTGCTGATGGAGGTATATCTTAAAATATATTTTTAGAGGTTATTAATGAATCTTGATAAAAACATCACAATATAAGTTGAAAATTTGAACTTATTTACACTAAGGTGCTATTTGTTTCTATCCCAATGCGTCATAAGAATTGACATACTACTGTTCTAAACTATCTCAGTTTACTCAGCCATAAAATGGCAGTAATTGTATTACCTATCTCAAGGGATTGTTAAAAGGACAAATACTGTATATTGTTCCTCTCTGGACGATGTACCTTACACTGGGCAGTTTAAACAACAGAAGTTTATTTTCTCACAATTCTGGAGTCTGGAAAGTCCAGGATCAAGGTTCTGGATAGTTTTCTGGTGAGGGCTCTCTGCCTGGCTTGCAGATGGCTACCTTCTTGCTGTTTGCTCACATGGTCTTTCAGTCTTTCCATCATTCTTGGGCGCAGGTGTTGGGGATCTCTTTCTTCCTCTTCTAAGACAATCAGTCCTATTGGATTAAGGCTTCACCCTTATGACCTGATTTGCCCTTAAATTCTTCCTTAAAGGCTCATGTCCAGATAAAATCACACCAGGGGCTAGAGCTTTAATATGTGAATTTTGGGGGACCACAGTTCAGTCCTTGGCAAACTGATACAGATGCTCCGTGACTTAGGATGGGGCTAGGTCCCAGTAAACCCATCAYATAGTAGTTTGYATAATTGAACCACTATAAGCCAGGGACCTTCTGTACATAACAGTACTTAAAATAGTTACCTGTCACATTGTAATTAAATTGTGTGATTCTAAACATYCCCCCCCYYTTTTTTTCTTTTCTAGGTGCTGATTTTGGATTATGTTCTAGAACATCAAGAATAGTGATTTCTACTTGTCAGGACTGCAAACTCAGAAGCTGCAGAGAATCCTATGTAAATAAACTGTGATCTCTTTTGCTGCCCTTTTACATTGGGAGACCCCTTTATTTCACCACATCCGAGGAGTATATAACTCGCACCGTCATTATGAATGTGACAAGTTTGTTTTCCTTCACAAGTCCAGCTGTGAAGAGACTTCTCGGGTGGAAGCAGGGTGACGAAGAAGAAAAATGGGCAGAGAAGGCTGTTGATGCGCTGGTGAAAAAACTGAAGAAGAAGAAGGGTGCCATGGAGGAGCTGGAGAAGGCCCTGAGCTGCCCCGGGCAGCCCAGTAACTGTGTCACCATCCCCCGCTCTCTGGACGGCAGGCTGCAGGTCTCCCACCGGAAGGGACTGCCTCACGTCATTTACTGCCGCGTGTGGCGCTGGCCTGATCTTCAGAGCCACCATGAACTGAAGCCCCTGGAATGCTGCGAGTTCCCTTTTGGCTCCAAGCAGAAGGAAGTCTGCATCAATCCCTACCACTATAAGCGAGTAGAAAGCCCCGGTGAGTGAGCCTCTCTGTGTTGATTGCTCTCTGCCAAGCAGCAGATTCACGCTCTCTGTAACAACAGAATTTCTGTCTTTGGTTTTAATTCCAAAGTATTTGGGGAATTGTGTGTGTGTGTGTGTGAGGGAGAGAGAGAGAAAGAGAACATGAGCCCATGTGTTAGTTAGCTCTCTCACACTGGAACGAAGACCTGAGATAATCAACTCTTGAGGAGAAAAGATCTATTTGAGCCACAGTTTTGGAGGTTTCAGTCCATGGTCACGTGGATCTGTTGCACGGCAGCGCGTCGTGGTGTGGAGTACATGGTAGAGCAAAGCTCATCTCAAGAGTAAGAGGAGCTGGGGTCCCTCTCTGCCCTTCAAGGGCATGCCCCTGATGACTGGAAGACCTCCAGTAGGCCTGACCGCTTAAAGGTCCCACCATCTACCACAATGCCACTCTGGGGAACAAGCCTTTAACATGTGGTCTTTGGCAGTTTAATCCAAATCCAAACCGTAGCAGCCCATAAGTATTTCATACATTTTAACAGCTTAGACCTCTTAAATTAGCTTTATTTCTTAGAAACAGGCTGGGAAAATTGTCATTGCAATACCTGTACCTCTAATTTTTAGTAAATGCATTTCTGAATTTGTTTTCTTGTTTCACTTTGTTCTGTACATTTGTATGGGCAGATTTAGCTATGAAAAAATATATTGCAAGGGAAGAAAATCAGGAAAGAACATTCTATTGCTTGCCATATGTCCACGAGCCATCACGAGGCCATTGTGACTTTTACTACTTTGTCTTTAAGAATAGCACTTATCATCGTCTCCTAGTGGAGGATGTAAAAGAATTATGCTGTGAAATAATTTGATACAATTATAAGATACTCCTAGTTTTTACACATATGACCTTTTTGGAGGTAAAGAATACACAACTGACTTTCCACGTCTGTGGATTCTGTATTCATATGTAGAACCAGCGGGGGATTGAAAATACTCAGAAAAATATGACATCTATACTGAACACGTACAGATTATTCCCATTATCTCTAAACGGTAGAGTAGAACAACTATCTCTATATCATTTACGTTGTTTTACGTATTATAGGTAATTCAAAGATGATTTAAAGTGTGGAGGAGGATCTACGTATAAGTTATACTTAAATCCTGCACCATTTTACATAAGGAACTTGCGCATCCACAGATCATGGAGTCTAGGAGAGTCCTGGAATCAGTCTCCCATGGACACATGACTCTTTTTAAATTATAGTTTTGCCCTCAAGTTAGAATCCATATTCTGGACAGTTGGGTCAATCGAAAGAGATTTGATATTGAAGCATTTAAGTAATCTCATTGTCAGATTGGGGCCAGTTTTGTTGATGGAATGGCTATTAATAGCTAATGGTAATGAAGGGTTCCCAAAGGTGGATGTGCATTAGAATCGGTTTCCCCTCCCAGAAATCCTGACCCTGGGATAGCCTGGTAATCTGTTTAACAATTACTTTGGGTCTTGCTGACAAATGGATTGGTATTTGGGAACTACTGAGCCAAATCATATGATAACATGGTTTTCAAATAAGTCGTTCAAAAAATATTTTTTTAAAAAAGTCATACAAAACGTATTTAAAGACTAGGGAATAATTTATAAACTCCTTTGTATTCAGCACCCAGTTTAATAACAGACTACACACAACTGAAACCCTTGTCTTTGTTTCTCTGACCACTGTTCTGAATTTGATGTTTATCATTCCTGTGCATATTTTGTACTGTTATTATATATGTATGAATCCATGACATTACATACTGTTGTGTTGTATACTTTAGAATATTATATAGAATGCTATAAAATATTAGCATTTCCTTTTGCAACAACTTGTTATATTCATTCAACAGTATGTTTTGTGATTCTAGATAATACATTTTAGGATTACCTTGTCTAATTCTATGAAGAACCCTCTGGGTATTTATTGAAATGTCATTGCTATCATCTGAGGAGGATTGACATAATCATGCTCTGGAACATAATATTTTTAAAATTTTCTTCACATCTTTTCATAGATGTGTTTCCAGATGACTGTTTTTATTATATCTTTAAAAGTTACATTGTTATAGTTGTTCTGTGCTAAGAAGGCAGCTGCTTTTTTTCAGACAACCTTGCCATATTCTATTAGTTCGAATTTAGACATTCTTTACTGCTTGTTATAAGATGCTAGAATTTTTTAAAATCACAAAGATTAACATAGAGGCACACAGTCCTCTTTAGTCAGGAATTAAAATGGAGCTAAGAATTTTGGAGAACAAAAAGCAGGGTCTAAGTAAGATGTACAAATAAGATGTTTGGGTCATTGGTGACTTTCAGGGTTACAGAGGGAAGATTTTAATCACGCACAAACAGTGAAACCGAGACCCTCATAGATTAAGCAACCTGTGTGTCAGACATGGGGAAGGAGAGGTGACTTGAGATGAAAAGTATTCTGAAGCCCGGACCCACTACTAGAAAACACTGGGTGTGGCCCCCACCCCCACAAGCGGTGGCCTCCCTCCTGCTGGTCACCCTTCAGCTTCCTGTGTTCTAGGGAAAGTAGTCTTTTGAAATGCAGGTAGGATCCATCAGTCTTGCTGGAGCTCTGCACGGTGGGTCCTGCCTCCCTTCCCAGCTTCCTTTCCTGCTTTTCTGGTATGTACCCTGTGTTCTGTGGGGACACCTGGTGCTCTTTTCCTCTGCCTTTATGCCTTCCTCCTCCCTTTCTGCTCAGCTCACTCTGTCCTTGGCGTCTGGCTTAATGAATGTCGGTTTCTTGGGGCAGCCTCTTAATTCCTTCTTCTCTGCCGCCAGATTGATTATGCCTGTGTCACAGTAACCTGGGTTTCCCCTAGTGCTCTTCTCTGCCGTGGTCATCCTTGGGCTTCTCTACAAGACAGTGATTAAAGCCCCTTGAGGGCAGAGGTATTGGCTTCAGTGAATCTTTGCTGTAAAATGAAAACGCTGCTTCTAACTTATCAGTATGGTCATTTGTCCCATCTTTTCAGAGATGAGTTTTCAGTTTGTCTCTATTGTTTTACCATCCACTGTCCTTCGTTGATCATTTCATTGCTGATACTGAAATGATTTTGTTACTCTTAGTAATTTGCATACTATAATAAAAGGTTTGATAAGGAAGAGGTGGGAAACTGGCTAAAATAGGTGTTTTGAGACTCCACAGATGTCATTTCAGCCTCTCTTTACCTAAAGTGTTGGGAGCCATGCACAGAACAGTTCTAGAAGAGTTTTGAGGCTGAGGCTAAGATCTATTCAATTTGTGAAAAATACCAGGATTTTACTTATTTGTCATTGTGGAGGCCCCGGTGTGAAACTTGGAACAGATGGCTTTTTTCCAAAGACTGCTGTGGAGCAACCCCTATAGCTGGTGGTTAGGTCCACCCCTTCCTCCCAGAGTTGAATAGGCATTTTCTCCCTGTAGAGCCACCTGAAGCACACCTAGGTATTGTTTTTGTGAAACAGGAAAAGGGGGGTCTGGAATTCTAAACTGCAAATTACTCAGCTCCACTCTGAAATTACTTGAATATCTCAGATGAAGCATTTTGAAGAGCAGTATAGCAGTTCAAGCATAAGATAGTTAACTTAGTCTCTCAGAGTTGTTTTCCAGAGAGTTCTTAGTAACTCTTGAGAAAATCCCAATTAGAAATTTTCAAATTGTGGTCTGCTTACTGGTAGCATTAGCATCACCTTAGAATTTGTTAAAAATGCAAAAATTTTCAATCAGTAAATAATTGTTTGTTTGTAGGGTACACTGTGATGTTTCCACATACGTATACATTGTGGAATAATCAAGTCCTAATTAACATATCCATCACTTACTATCATTCTCATTTTTTTTTTTGTGGTGAGGCTTAAAATCCACTTCATTAGCAACTTTGAAACGTACATTATTAATTGAGGTCACTGTGCTGTGCGGGAGATCACAGAACCGTTCTTCCTGTCCAAGGGAAACTCTGTTCTGAACCTGGCCCCTCCTGCGCCTCTGGTACCCTCTGCTACTTTATCTCTCCATGAGTTCACTTTTTTAGATTCCACAGTGCAGGACAGTTGTGCTGTGATTCTGATGTCTCCTGGCTAAGTGTCCAGGCCAGGCGACAGGCCCAACTGTCTGGGCAAGGTGGTCCAATACTGAAAAGAGATACTAGTGATTTGGCCATGCAGCATTTTGAATTTTGCATGTTTTGAGACAAATATAAAATTGACTTGTTTTTCTAGATTTTTCCTTCTGTTAGTGTTCATTAAGATTAGCATGCTGATGTTATAAGGTAACTTCAGGTGAGTAGGAAAGTGGGGGAGAAAGACTTGCTTTTTTTATTTGGCTGAAACTCAAGTTTTGTCATTGTTCTTTTGGGTATCTTTTGCCCTCAGTTTTTTTGACCAAAAATAATTCTGTTGATTTAAGCTCCTATAGTTTTTCCTCAACCTATGCCATTTATTTTATTTCAAATAAAATAGCATAAAAATAGTCATGGGGAAAAACTGAGTTATGGAAACATTTTGCAGAGGCTGGGATTCATTGCTGTTAGTAACAGTGGCAGAGCGTGAGAAGTGGTTGAAAGGTGCCGCTTTGACCATCACTGACAAATGCATTTTTGGGAAGTAGAAAATGTTAGGCATTTTGTTTTCTGCATATGTGTGGATACTTAGAGGAAACAGAAAGTTCCAGGAGTGAATGAAGACTGACCCTGCTATGGTGTGGCAGGTGGCTCTGTGCTTGGAGTTTTACTAGCCTTAGGGACCAAGGCTGCTTATTAGTGGTTGAATTAAGTGGAGGTTTTTCTTTTTCTTTACCAAAGTAAATGCCAGTGGTGGTTCGGTCAGTCATCTGGCTGGTAATGGAAGGCCATCCTGTTGCTATCTACTGCTATTAAAGTGCCTTAATGGAGATTTCCTACCATTGGTCTTTTTTTTTTTTTTTTTTAATGTTTTCCACGTGGTTCTTGGCCATTGTCTTTTGTACTTTGAACTTCATCAAC